AGGCAAGCACTCTACCATTGAACCAATCTTAGCTCAAATAGTGATATTCTTAATGCAGAATGATTGTGATCACTGTTCTGTCTCAGAGGATTTGTGCAGGGAATGGGTAGGCTTTCCTGTTGGCAGGCCATGGAAACATGAGGTCTGGCTTAAGAGTGACTGAAATTTAGCTTTTCCCTATATTGCTACATTTTGTATGGAGGATCTACCAGGCCCTGGGTTTAATCCCCAGCACTACAACAGAAAGAAAGAAAGAAAGAAAGAAAGAAAGAAAGAAAGAAAGAAAGAAAGAAAGAAAGAAAGAAGAAAGAAAAGGAAGGAAAAAGAAGGAAAGAAAGAAAGGAAAAGAGAGAGAAAAGAATGGAAGGAAGGGAGGAGAACAAAAGAAGGGGCTTTGCTGTTGTCTTGGTTACTTTTCTCTCATTGCTGAGACAAAATACTCAACACCCAAAACTGGGGAAAGTAAGGTTTTTTTTTTTTAAATCTTACAGTTTTTTTGAGATTTCAGTCCATACTCAGTTGGTTCCAAGGCAGGGTGACATGGCTGAGGGGCAGCCATTCATGGTAGCTGCAAACAGTAAGAGCGAACAGGGCAAAAGAGGAGGAAACATGCCTTCTTCCCTCCCTTATATTGCATGTTGTCTCCGCCTCTGGGTGGGTGCAGCACTCACACTGCCAATCCCAGCACTAGACAATGAACCAATCACAAATGTTAGATTCAGCCAGCTCCATGACTACATGAGGCTTGGGGGGGCCACCTAGGCACAAACCATAACAACTGACTTTCAATGGAAAATTTTGGTCCCCTAAATAACAGTGTGTTAAAGTTATTTCTACCTCCTTTTCATGGAAAAATGGATTATCTTGACATCCTGATTTTGCCACACATAATTAAAGAAGAGCATTCTGCACCATGTGAGAGGAAGTACTGAGTGTGCAATATCTAGTTTGGTATATTCTTAGTCTCTCCTTCATGAACACAAAGTGACTGCAGAAAGCTGCTCATTGCATCCAGGTACAAGGCAGGGAGAGAAAATGAAAGGAAAACTTTGGTTGTTTCTGTCTCTTTTATTAGCAAAGTAAAACTTTTCCTAGAAAATCCCAAACTCTGTTCTGGTCAAATCCTCTGGCTTAAACTGTTTCATTGCCACCCCTTGTGGAGAAGGGGATGGGTAAGATGAGCATTTGTTTTTTCTGGCTTCTTGGGGTGAAGTCAGCAAGGAGAAAGGGTTCACAAGAGTGAGAAGCCAGTCATCAGCTTCTGCTGCCCTATACCGACCATCCTGAGCTGTCCACTGACTGCTTCCTATTCCTGAATCCCTGAGGTTGTTCTGTTCTCTGTCCGCACCTTCTAATCTAGGTCTTAAGCTTGTGATGTTGTGAGTTATCTCATAATCTTCTAATAAAAATCTGTATGGAATACATGAATAGAAAATTCTGACAGCCTTACTCTGTGGATCATCCCAGGAGGATGGGACATTAGAAAAATACCTAATGTTAGTGTTTGCAGCAGGGTCAGCACAGGACAGCACAGCGGGTTGATGGGGCTTAAACCAGTCTCTTATATTCCAGGCCCTTGCACACACTACCCCACTAAACTATCTCTCAGGCTTCAGTTTATTCAACAAAACAAAACAGAACCCCCAAAACAAACAAATAAAACAAAAAGCATAATTTTCTTACTCTCAAAGCACACTGGAACACATCTACCTTGGAGGGGGAAGAATAAGAGCTGGATTGCGCTTTTTGGAAACTTGAAATAGCATTGTGAAGGGAGATGAAAATATCTAAGCCCCCCAAGTTCCGACCAATACAATGGTTAGTTCAGGTGAGTAATGAAGAAAAGACTGTTACTGGTTTCTTGGAATAACTTGGTCCTTAAATTGTGGTATAAACAATTTCCAGGGAGAGCCAGGAAGATCACAAAGGTGGTCTTGCTCCAAGACTGGACACAGTGGAAAAACAGAGTGGAGGAGGAAGAAGACGCCAGCCCCAGAGCCAGCCTGCCTGTTGGGAATGCCAGCTCTGCGAACAGTCACAGGCCCTTGGGCAAGTCACTTGCCAAACTGCACATGCCTCAGTTTCCTCATGTGTAATGGGAGATAACAGCACCTACAGATTTGAGTTGTTAGAAAAATTCAATGAGAGAAGGAGAAAAAGTCAGTTAGATTCAAGCTTGCTGTATCTCTTCATTGGCTTGGGTTTCCCGGACATTTGTTTGCTAAAAACAACCCATAGGAATTTTGCTTCATCTACTGTGGCTCGTAATTACCTAACTGGGACTTTACTTTCACAATAGGTATTATCTCAGTATTTTCAACTGAGGACCTGAGTTTACTTGTATAATTGTTATTGCAAAATTTTTTGGTCAACTTATTTAACTCAAGAGGAACGACTTTATGAGTTATGTTTTTAACTAAACTGCATAGTATAAAATCTATGTAGTTGGAGTTGGGGGGATCTGCAAATTTTTTTCTCCTTAAATGGATGTAGTCAAAAACATGAGTCTATTGCGTCATTTAAAACACGTTATGCAAAATCCTCTTTCCTTCTAAGGCTGCTCAACATGTAATACCAAGAATACCATACCACGGCCAAGTGCTTAGAATGCCACATTTAATCTTGCCAATACAAGTGAGTAGGTGCCATCACTCTTCCTGTCATATACATTTAAAAAACATTCACAAAATTTCACCTACACAATCAAAAACATGCGAATCCAGGTCTTGGTACGAGGTTTGAATCCAAAATCTTGGTGCTTGTCATCATTACAGTTCTGCAAAGATAGCAAAAAGCTTTTCCTCTATACACTTAGTTTCTGTAGCTAGGACCTATGAATTAAATTGACAAAGACAGATTAAGAGAAGGAAGGGCTTATTATTCATGCACATGGGGGCCTCACAGACAGAAAGTAATAACCCAAAGATGAGATTATGTTTGAGAGCTTACATATCATTTTAACAAAGGGTGATACACAGGGAGAAGTGACAAGCCAAAGGTAAAGGATGTGGATTTCTAAGGGCAGTGGACTGTAGGAATAGCAAAAAATGGTGAAACTAACAGAGGGTAGAGGCTGTTTAGTAAGGTGTGGCATGTCAACTCAAGTCAGTGTCACCTTCAGTGATGAGTCTTCTTTTCCTGGCATGAGACTACTAAGTGCGGATAGTGTCACAAAGGAAAATAGATGTTCTCCTTACAGAGGAAGTTTATGTCCTGCTTTGAGGCAGAAAGGGTAGAACAGAGTTCTTACATCTGTTTCTCAACTGCTTTCAAAAGAATTCTGATGTCAAAGTGGCATATTTTAAGGTAGTATATTCTGATCTTCTTTGGCTCCCCTCACACACTATTTTAACAGTTCCCAAATCTTTATCCAGTCTTATTACAGACTCGGCATTACAGGATCCTTGGACTGGATTCTTGCTCTCAAGAAATTACAGAAAAATGTGAAGTTTCAGATAAAGAGTGCTGCCTCTTACAATGGACAGATTCCAAGTTTTCAAATGCTTCATACATCCTTTTGCCTCTGCTTGAGAATCCTAAAAAATCCATTGAGGCAGCCTGATTTTCTTATTTCTATTATATAGAAAGTTGACTCAAGTCAAGAAACTTGCTTACATTTACCCAGTTTGGAGATCCTGACTTGACTCTGCTGTTATACACATGCACACATAAATATGTATATAAAATATGTATATATGCATATATTTTCATATAAATATTTATTCTAAAATGTCCCCCAAAGCCTCATCCACTCCCAGGTGGGGCTTTTAGGAGTGGATATGTGGTATCCATGATACTAGTCAGTTAATCTACTGATTGGTTTAAGGTAGTTCTGGGTGTAGATAATGGAAAATCCCACCCTAGATCTGGGTGGCACCACCCAAAAGGTGAGTAGCCTGGATGCAGTAAAAAGAAGAGGAAGGCTTACTGCTGGCTGCTTTCTGTCTGCCCTGCATTGGACTATTTCTCCTCTGTTATGCTGCCCTGTCTTGGAGTCAGCCAACTATGGACTTAAATCTACAAACTGTGAGCTAAAATAAACCTTTCCTCCTTTAATTTGTGGGTGCCAGGTATTTTGTCCTAGCAATGAAAACGTAACTGAGACATACACATGCCGTTCACTTGTGGAACTAGAGTGTCACAGATCTTAACTGGCCCTTCCTGTCTTTGTGTATCACTCAGTGAAGACGACTTTCTCTCAATCCAAGGATATGTCTCATGGGCAATGCAAAATCCTTGGACACAATGCCCAAGTGCTCACAAACAAAGTGTGAGCTGTTTGACGTGGGTCCAGGAAGATTTCCTTTTGGCTGTAAATTTGTTGCCTGTCAGCTCCAAAAAACATACATGTTTAAGAGAGACTAGCATTTCATTGAAACCATTCTTTGCTTCAGGGCTATTACAAGTCCAGATGAGGTTCCCTTTTCCAGATTTTCCTCAAAACTGCTAAATTTGACAGAAAGATAGGCTGGCTCTCCTCTTTTGCCTCCCACTATTGTAGGGAATGAAAAGCCAGCCACTCTTTTTCTCTGGGTGGGCATTGAGGCCAGGAGAGAAACGAGCTGGTAGCTCATTAGGAAATAGGCTCCCTCGTTCCTAAAGAGGGAGGAAGGCTGAGAAAGTTTGCTCTTGAAGCCTTGTCCTGCTTCCTGCTTTGAGTGAAGGTTAGGATGTGCTAGCCAGAGGTTTACTGACCCAAAGGGCAGTGGAGTCGAGGGGCGGGACAGGTGGCGGGGCGACGGCGAATTAGCCAGCACAGTGGAAACCCCGAGCTGGATTTTAGGGCGTGGCTTCCCCGCGGAAGAGCTCAGCCTTGCTTTCATTGGACAGGTCACGTTCTGGGGCGTGGCCTCGGGACTTCAGTGCCCCGCCCCTAATGGGGCGAAAGCGCGGGGCCACGCCCCTTTGGGGCGTGGTCTGTGGAAGGTGAGCCCCCAGTGACTCGGGGCAGCTGCGCGTGTTCGGCGCGGGTTCCTCCCACGCAGACACTCATTCAAAAGATGCCGAAGGGGCGGCGCGGCAGCCAGAGCCCCACGATGAGCCAGCGGCCGGCGCCGCCCCTCTATTTCCCGTCGCTCTACGACCGCGGCATCTCCTCGTCTCCGCTCAATGACTTTAACATCTGGAAGAAGCTCTTCGTGCCGCTGAAGGCGGGCGGGGCGCCGGCGGGCGGGGAGGCTGGGGGCCGGCCCCTGCCCCAGGCGCCTTTCGCCCCTGCGCCCCCTCCGCCGCCCGGCCTGGGTCCCCCCAGCGAGCGCCCCTGTCCCCAGCCCTGGCCCTCCGGCCTGGCTTCCATCCCCTACGAGCCTCTGCGCTTCTACTCACCGCCACCGGGCCCTGAAGTGGCTGCCTCGCCCCCAACTCCCAGCCCCGCGATCGCCCCTCTCGCCTCTGCTCCCCACCCCGAGGAGTTATGCGAGCTGGAGATCCGGATTAAGGAGCTGGAGTTGCTTGCCATCACTGGGGACGGCTTCGACTCCCAGCGCTGTGCGTGACTTAGCCCGGGGCCACCTGAGCTCATCCCTAGAGGCCCTCCTTCCCTAATTGGCCCCACAAGGTGGCTGTAGGCTCAGGAGCTGATCCAAAGTTTGTCCTCTAGAGACCAGACTCAGCCCCCATCCCGGGTTTCAACTGACTTCTTCCTCTACTGCACATTTGCACTTCAAGAACCCTTTAGTTTCAGACTCCATCCCAGACACTTTTGATAATCTGGACTGACAACATCTAGATGTCCACTGACACTACCCCATCTTGACATTTAGCTCTGCACAGTAACATGCAGGTCCCTGTGGTCTAGACTTCTAACCACCAGAGACAGCCTTTATCTCTAGAGACTTTGAAGCTTTCATGCTTAGTCTTAAACTGGGGCCTTCAGGCATGAGGAGGGGGAAGTAGGTGAGAGTCAGCTCAGATGTCTGTAGGAAGAGGTCAGAACTGTGCAGGACCCAGAAAGCCCAAGGACATTCACTGAGAGGCTGTGGGACACTGAACTTCGGAGGCTGGAGGGTAACCTCCCTTGAGCCCTTGGGCCTCACACCAGGGTCCTATACTCTGTCATCTGATCATAGATAGGCCTGAAGACATGTAGGTGGCCATACAGAAGTCTAAGTAGAATTTATTGTAAAGTAGATGGAGACATAGACCTTCAAGAGAGAAGGCTGGCAGTGCCACAAGGCATCTGCCCAAATAGGAATTTGCAGGCCTTTTTATGCACCCAAAAGTTACTCCTCCTGGGGTTTTGGGAAATATGATGATTATCCCTTTTATTTACATCCAGTACGTTCCTATCAACATTTGTCTTAGGAGTTACTTCTGTTGATATTTCAAAAATGTCTTCCTTGTTCCTTTCAGGTGGTCAGTGTAAGAACTAGACCAACCTAAGGAAGGAAGAATGCTCCCCTTTATATCCTTGAGCACAGACCGTAGTACCCAGGAAAGCTGACTGCCTTGTTTTGGAAATACAGGAATACTTTGGTTTGTGAACTTAATTATTCCCTCAATTCTGGTCCCAAACTGAGTTGGATGAGAACCAAATCAAATTTAATGGTTAGGGTCAATTTTGACCTTGGGAAATTTGATTCAGTTCCATTCAGTTCAGAGAGAATTGAGTTCATGAACTGAGGTACTGCCAGGTGGTCAGATAGCAGAAGGTATAACCTTAAAATGTCATTGTTTTTTGTGGGATCATTTTAGGCCTAACAAAATTATTATAATCATACATTGAAGTCTTTGTCTCTTAACTGCATAACTGGCAAAGCATGCTATTTTGGACATATATACCCACAGGCCCACTAATGTCTAATTACCTGCCTATCATACGCAACAGGTTAAATTGGAGCCCATGCCACACCAGGAGAAAAAGTATTAAATAACTTGCATGTCCAGGAGGTGCCCAATTCATCAAATACCCTGTACCATACCTTTCTTATGGCTATGAAAAGAAAACAGTTCCCTGGGAAACTTGGACTTTCCTAAATCCTAGATTTCTTAATCTGTTCTCAGAGTTAGATGTGTTTTAGCGGCTAGGATTTTTTTCCCTCCCATCTTGTATCACAAATGGGTTTTAGGCTTATGTGGGAAATACTTTCGCTTTCCCAGAAGCTTGCTCTGGATGAGTTTTTCAAAGCCTTTCTTTCTACTACAACTAAGTTAGTTTTCTCCCCTACAGATAAATTCCTGAAGGCGCTGAAAGATGAGAAGTTACAAGTACTGAAGACCAGGCAACCCGGAAAGAAGTCAGCCTTGCTGTCCTGAGAAGCTGCTTTCCAGAGTCGGGCAGTCCCCTTCTTAGATTTTAGTGCTTAGATAACGTGCCCCATTTCGTGTCATTTCAAAGATGGTTATTTTCTGTTCTGTATTTACTGCTGTTATTGCTCCCAGCATGTACTCCACATAGAGTATCCACGTATGTGGTCAATCACACGGTCTCTCTCCTCTGTGCTGCTGCTGGGGGAGCTCCCTCATTGGGTCTGGATGCTGTTGCAGGGCTGACTTTCAGGGTTCCCTGATTCCAAAGCCGAGAACCCCCAAGTTTCCATAGCATGAAAACAAGAATGATGGATGTGTAGGAGGGAACTGGGAGAAACCAAGGGAATGGGGTTTGGTAAGATTGATTTACTTTGGGTTGTGGCCAAAAAGCTATGTAGTCAAGGAATGTATAAGCCTGGAGTTCAGAGAAAGGCTGGACTGATGTATTAGTTTAGGGAGTTGTTGACATGTGGTTCTATTTAAAGAGTGAGATTAAATGAGACCATCTGGGTGATTGGAGGGAGAAACAGGTAGAACAACCTTAATACAAAAACCAAAATCCAAAATGTTAAACTATTTGAACACCAACATTTCTACCACATGTGGAATATTCTACATCATGGAACTTTGTTTTGTGCCCCAAATTTAAAATATTGTATAAAATTACCTTAAGGATATGTATATATGCTATAAACAAAACATCAATGAATGTCATGTTTAGACTTGGGTCCTATCCTTAAGATGCCTCATTATGTATATTACTTATGTATACTATTCCAAAATCTGAAGAAAAGTTCATAATTCAGAACGTTTCTCAAAACATTTTGGATAAGGGATAGTCAGCCTGTTTTGAACTTGGAGATGCTCAAGAGTTTGAGGAGAAGAGTAAGAAGTTCCAAAGAGAATGAAAAAACGTAGCCAGTGAGTTAAGTGTTTAGACATCAAGGGGAGAAAGGTTACCCAACAGGAGGGAGCAGCCCACTCTGATCAATAGTGCCAGCAGGCCAAGTAGTCCAAGAGGCCACTCTCAGATTTAGCAACACAAGTTAAGTATTAGCAATTGTGTCAAGAGCAGTTTTGCTTGAGTGATAAGGGTTAACGCCTGAATACAGTAGATTTCAGAGAAAATGGGAAGAGAATTGGAAGTAATGGGTATATATCGAAGACTGACCAGGCCTGCAAACTTCCAAATGAGTAGACAGTGAAGGCTTAAACAAGAGACAAGTGGTATGATTTTAGGGTTTGGGGGAATCAAAATCCTCTAGACAAATTCAAGATTCTGAGGGCTGAGACAAAAGAACTTCTCTGGGCAGCCCGTATTTATTTGGTTTTCAGACAAAGGGAGGGGATACTGAGGAAAATGCGGGAACTGAGCAGGACCTTAGGAGCTAGTTCAAAGACTTCTCCAAGTAGTAATTTATGCTAATTAGGAGAACTATCTTGTTATCTTGTTTGACCTTCATGGCAGGACTGACACAGCAAGGGTGAGACACCTGCAGCTACAGTCTCTAGCTAGTTAATTGGGGTTGGAGCCAGGGGTCCTATCTTGTCTTTTTTGAGGCATCACAGCATCACTGGCCACTATTAGACCTCAGCCCGGAGCAGTGATTCATAGATGTTAACTTTACTATGAATCCAATGCCCATTTCCAGACAAGGGCTTAGGCCTGGGACAGACTCACAAGTAAATGCAGAGAGACAATTGATTCATTTTAAATCTGCTGTTTTGTAGTGGTCTCCATCAGGTGCATATCATCCCTTAGAGGTGTTTAACTGTAGAAGAGGGTGGAGACATAGAGCCAGAGCTAGCAGGGTTGGGGACGGGTCAGTAAGAGAGGATTTTAATAAAATAGGAGGCATAACTGCCTATTTGTGATCTGAGCAATAATCCAGGAGAGGGAGAACGTGGTGATGACAAGGGAGAACAGAAATTGTTGGCATGGCACCTTGTGAAAGAACTGCTGCCTTTAGTCCATTTCATATAGTTGTGGGAGAACACTAAGGCTGGGAGATTTACAAAGCACCAAAGTTGACTTCTCATAGTTCTGGAGGCTGGAGAGTCCCAGTCAAGGCACTGAAAGCTCAGGAGCCTTGTCTTTTGGCTCCCAAGATGTTGCCTTAAGTACTGGGCCCCTGGCAGGAGAGGAGAAGAAGGCACTTTACACACCCTTTTTATAGCTGTGTTCACTCAGTCACAAGAGTAGTCCGCATACCTGCACACCTCCCAGAGGCCTTTCTGTCTATCACTGTGACATTGAGGATGAACTTCCAGCATGAATTTTGAAGGGGACAGATGTATTCACACCATCGCAAGGGGTGGGTACCAGTCCACAGCAGAGAGATTGGCTTAGGAGGGGAGTACAGACTCTCCTTCTGTACAAACAGAAGTCACACCTCTGCTATTAGAGTGCAGATGCTGGCAAGTGAGTAAAAGAGGTACCAGGAATGCTGCAAGTTGTGTCCACACACCTCAGCCTCAAAGTTTATACAGCAACCTCAGCTTGAGGATGTGAACGCGCATGCCTACAAGGCTGGAAACCCAGAGCTGAATGCAGGGAGCCACGTGGGAACTGGCAAGATGCAGAGCTCATGCCCCACTGTGGTGGCAGTGGATATCTGGTTCCAGCTGGTTGTTGCCAAGGCAGAAGTGCAGGTACAGGATCAGGTGAAAGTTCCTGATTTCTAAATCTTGGCAATGAACGCACATGTTTCCAAAATACTATGCAGGCCAAATAAAGATTAGGAAGTCCCCCAGAGTTGGTGATCTGCCTACCCACTAGGGCCCTCCTATCCTGAGTAAGGATTCCAAGTCCTTTTCCCTTCCTTAGGCTGGCTTCCTGGAAACCCCTTTGTTTTTCCAGAAAACTTCAGGATGGTAAGACCATTGGTGGCTGGATAATCTTACTGGGAACAAACATAAATCAATTATGGGGAAAAACTCAGTCAAGAACCCAAATGGAGACAGCAGAATCGAGATGGCCCAGCCCAGGCCATGATTATAAAAGTAGACCTCCCTATTGACAGTGGTCTGGTGGAATGGGATTCGTGTGACTACCAGTCTCTCCAGAACAAATGGAAATCTTATCTGTGTGGGGAGCCATTGAAGCTGGAAATTGACCACATGTGCAGGGCTGGGCATGGCCATCCCAAGACAAAGAGTGCCTGCAGCAAACCATGTGAAAAATCTGCTTAAGCCCAGAGAACACCTGGCCTGAAGACAGAACAGTGGGTGGTTAGGACAATGGTGTGTCACATGACATTAAATTGCTAAAAGGGATAAATGAATATCCCTGAAAGAGGGAGAAGTCCCTTTCCTCCCATCAAGAGAAAGAGGTCTCTACTGACCCCAGCTTTCCTCTCTTTTTTATTTTTCTCATCCTCCAGCCATCCTTCTCCCCAGAAAACACCTGGAGCTGTTCGGGTCTCAACTTACACCATTCTGAATTCTTATCTAGTCTCGTTCCCTCAGGGTGCTGTGGGAGCATCTCTTCAGATGTGCTGATGCTACTCCTTGTGATATCCTTGGATATCATACAATACCCGGAGGAAATGAGATTAGGTAGGAATTCACAATGATCTATGACATGAAGCTGGGGAATCACTTAACCTAGGGGCTCTTTTGGTTAGGGAAGCAGAAAGCCACTGGAGCCAGCATGGCAGACATGCTTTGTCAGGGTTGCCCAAATATGGAGAAGGAAGGGATAAGAGCACAAATCAGCTCGAACTGCCACTTGGAAAGAAAATGAATTTGGGTCACACTGCCATTGCTGCCCTTGGTTGGGGATGCAATGGGCAGGGTTCTATAGCTGCAGCTTCCCAGGAGTACTTGGAGTGTGGTAGCCTCTGCTTCTCCAAAGAAGGAGCCCTGGTGGACAATGACAGCACAAGTCACTGTGCGTCTCTTGGATTGGTCCCTGCCTGGAAGTTTCCTGTCTCTTTCTGCTATACCCTCCCACCCTTTCCAGCCACAGCTTAGCTCCTAGGGAGTTCACAGGAGCGAGGTCGGGTCCAAGGGCACATGAGTGAGCAGGCAGGTCTCTCTAAAGAGAAGGTGGTGGATGCCCCATTTATTCAACCCCTAATTATGAATCACAGAAGTCCCTCTTCTGGGCACTGAGCAAATAAATAGGCAGAGCAGCCAGGGTGGCTGTACTAAAGGAGCCATCCATCCTCAGAAGGAAGCAGAAACTGAAGCAGGCACCCCTCCCGCCTCAGTGCTCCCTCCCCATCGTCAGGTGTCACTTCCTCCCTCAAGTCTCCCCTGATTCTCCTCCCCAGCTTCCAGGCTACTCGTTCCTTCTCTGAGCTTCCATAGTGTGCTGAGCACCCCTTCTCCTGGCAGTTATCACCTGGAGTATAATGTTGTCTCCTTCACCCCACAGTGATCTCCCTGGGGAAGGGCTGTGTCCTCGCTACTATCTGGAGCAGGGCAGTTTGCACAGAGCATACCAGTGACTGAACCTGAGAGGAGAGTGGAGCTCCTGGTCTCACAGTCTGCATTACATCACAAGACAGAATGCTCTGGTGCAATACTATCTCAGGAGTGTCTGCTCATGACAGCATGGAGACTGAAGTGCCCAAGTTCTTTACTGGGACCCAGGGACAGGACTTAGCCCTTCTTACCTGGGATGTGGTGTGTAATGTAGTGGTTAAGATCATGGCTCTGAGGTCTGGCCATCCACATTGAAATCCCAGCACATACCAATTGGATTGACTTTGGGCAAACTACTTACTTTTCTGTATCTTTTTTCTTCATTGTCAAATGAAGAAATCAATAGTACCCAACTTCACATATTGCTACAGGGCTTACTTAAGTAAGTAGATGTGTAGGAAGCGCTCAGAATAACCCAAAGCAAGTATTGGGTAAATGTTAGCTATGCTATCTATCCATTCACAAACTCCCCACAAGTCTTTTTCTCACCTCAGTTTGTGTAAATCCAGCACAAAGAGTCTGTAACTCTGAAACCAATGCACATAAACAAAGCCCTCATTCTTCAGTGTTTTTCATGGCGCTGCTCTTTTAATAAAACAGATTCTAACTTCTTGGCACCCTTTTTCTCATATGGAAAATATGTAGCTCCCTCTGCCTGGGGCTGTTGCTCAGTGAACTGAGATCGTGTAGTAAACTGCTCACCTCATGACATTGCCCATGTGCACCATTAGCTTTGCCTCTTTGGATTTGTTGAAAAATTTGCATTAAGGTTTCTGGTCATTCGGAAACACCCCACCTTCTTGTCGTGGAGGGATCCACTAGGTGGCAGCATAGATTTAAAGGTGTGATGCATTCACCTCAGGCTCTAAATCCTGTCATATCCAGAGCTGACATTTATCCTCCCGTTCAGTATTGCTTAGAAGAAAACCCAATTGGAAAACCTTCAGGGAAGAGGACGTGCTGCAGCCCTTGCAAGCATTCATTGCAAAAATAAACACAGGTGCAGCACCAGGCCTTTGCCAGAAGCTGCAGGTGGCTGCCGGCCCCAAGGAAACGTGCTCCTTTCAAACTGATTCGAAGATGAAAGGCATAGTTTACATGAATAAAAGTAGCTGGACTGAGCTTATTAACTTATTTCTGGAGACTGGAAGTTCAAGATCGAGGTGTTTGTGGATTGGCTTCCTAGTGAGGCTGCTCTTC